AAAAGGTTTCGTAGTCGAAGTACGAAACCAAAAAGGGTTTCATACGAAACTTAAAACGGTTTAGAAATGGTTGCACTTCTCTATACCCTTTTAAGTTTCGTAATAAACCTTTTTTTTTTAGAGAGTATGACTATAACTGGCGCAATAATAGCGTTAGATTTTTTTCATGTTGCTTTTGATGAGTCGGAAATAAATAACACTTCAAGATCACCGAATTTTTTTGATAATACTTGAGTAGTCTTCTGTTATTAGTTATGTTTATGTTCAAAAATATCTGCTGTTTCGAATGACGCTGAAATTGACTCTCTAATATCAGTAGTAGAAGAGATACAACAAAAGTAAAATTCATGGTTTATTTTTCCTCATCTTGGTAACCTGCAAAAATCTTGCACTTTTATAGTTTCTGTTTTATTTGTCTAAAACTATTAAAAAGGTACGAAAGAGTATCACGACATTTGATGAATAAAAGTAGTCTAAGTCGTTTGATTGTCTATAGATCGACGTAGGATTACTGCAGGAATAGCAGCAGATGTCATTTTCGTAATTCGTGAGTTTAAGTTAGTGTAATTGACTATATTCATCATGAAATTCTTTTAGTCATCTGAGAATGTTCTATCATAAGTTATAACTTTTTTAGCTGCACAATTCTTAATTTTTATTGAAAAGAGACGTTCACTTATTCATGATCGATGCATATTTGTTAATATATTTTAGTTTCTTTTATTCAAAAAAACGAACACCAAATTGTTCGTAAACGTCAATAACTCGCACATTGTAACGAAGGTGGAAAGAACGTGGCAGATATAGTCTGTCACAATGTTCCAATTGGGAAAGTAAAGAGAGTTGCAGAAGATTTTTCTGACACACTTATTCTATCTATATCAAGGTCTTCATTTTAGCATGCGTTTAAGACATAGAGAAGGTACTTGCTACACTGCAAGCGTTCCATTCATAAAAATCATTCAAAATTCTCGATGTGCGTTTATTGATAAATTTATGAAAAATTAGATAAACAATCGCCATCAAAATAACAAAATGATAATACTCAGTCTTAAGAGTATGTCAAAGAAAAGTATGATAATATAAACACTTCGTTTCTTCAATATGTTTTATGTTTGAAAAAAATACATTTTCAACTCTTGAGTGTAATATCTTATCCCTTCATAAAAATGAACATCTTTTCTCATCATTCGCATTCTCATTTATTAGAATAGTTGAAATCCAGATTGACTTGAAAACAACGAAATGGACGGATATTAATGAACACCTTCAATGTTAAATTATCTAATAATAGTTTGCTGTTTTTGATTCCTAGAATGTTCGTCCTCGTCCTCATCATTGTTATTATCTTCGATGAGTTCTTCGGCATCCTCTTCATACACATCTTCCATAGCCATTAACTCACTATCATCTTCGGCTCTATAATCCGATCGTAACATTCTCGGATGTAAATATTCATCTTCGTTATAATTTACTCGATATAAAAATAGTCCTTCAGGTTTCAATGTTATCGGGTATGGATTATTGAAATAATAATCAGGTGGACAATCAAAACGATTTAAAATATCTTGTATTGTCATTTTACCTTGAGCACACATTACCATTGCACCAGTTATTCGACGAATTAAACGATATAAAAATGATTCACCTTCGATTACTAAATTATAAACAGTCATTTTCGAATGAAGTGTAGAGTCAATTGGTGATGGTAGTAACGATTCTCCTTTTAATAATTTTAATTTTAATGTTTTAACTGGACAACGTTTTTCTATGTCCATTGCTTCTCGACCGAGAACAGTTGTAAATGCTGCAAAATTATGTTGACCTTGAAATACTTCCATAGCTTCTTTGAATCGATCTAAAATCAAAACATAATAAAAATAATTTCATTTTATATTAACAAGGTTTATTGCTTACCTAAATTGAATGGTGGTTCAACATATGTTAAATAGTGATAATCAAATAAATTGCATTGAGCAGGAGTTAATGAACGTAATAGATAACGATTCTTTTTTCTTAAAAATGGTATTTCCATATTGGCCTGAGTAAATTCTGTTTCATCTAATATTCCAAGTCGATAGATGTATGTTCGTGATAAACAATGTCGTCGTAAATGAAATTGTGGTGATAATTCATGAATACGATCAACATGTATTAATTCCTTATTTTTATGTAAATGGTCATTAATTGGTTTAATTAATGTACTTGGATTTTGAAGTTTGAGATCACGATGAACCCAATGAAAAATGGCTGTGTTATGAAGAGCATGAACACCGGCATCTGTTCGAGATGAAACGCCCATGCGTACAGCATATTGTGGTTGATAGGCATTTAGAGCATCTTGTAATGTTTTTTGAACACTTCGAGTATAGCGTTGTAACTGAACACCATTGTAACACTGACCAGAGTAACTAAAATGTATCATATAACGAGGAAGAGTTACTGCTTGAGACCATGGCATCTATAAGAGAAAAATAAAATGAAATAAATCACATCTGTGATTAAAAAGATGCATCAAGCTCAGTAAAGTAAATAGGTATAACTATGATTTTCTGTTTCTCTCAAATTACAGTAGATACATTCATCAAAACAAACACTGATAAAGTATCAAGTTTCTAATCGATAAAACCTCAAGAAATATTACATACTTTTATTAACAACATAAAAACATTTAACAAAATTCTCTCATGTAATAAATAGCCATTAAGCATTTATTTTTCCCATTGAGTTGGACGAACGGATATTATTACATCAGATAAATAAATCATTTTTCTTTCTCTAACTTAAAGCCAAAGAAATAGACATCAACGTTTAATTAATGAAAATAACTAATGTTTATCTTTTTCAACGACAGTACAACTATTGTGTCTTGTGTATAAAAATACGTTGCTTTTCAACTAGTGTAGAATTTGAACGATTAACCTTGGTTAAATAATAATCAACTTGTGGTAATACATGATCATTACTATGTAAATGACCGTCTGATAATTTAGAAATATTCTTTAACGCTAATCTACAGTTTTCAAAACGTTCGATAGATCCACATTTAGCACTATGAACCAATACAACAGACACACATTTTCAAAAGTTCTGCGTAAGAGATTGAATGAATGAAGTAAATATTGAGGTGTTTACACATATAAGCAACCTGAGAGTTTACATTTTTAGTAATGATTTTTGATTGTCACAGATATGTTATCCCATATTGTACGTTGTTTTGTATAGTTTATTTAATTTTTATTTTTTAATTTCCAATATTTATTTCGCTGTTTCACATTTAAATTTGTTGTTGGTATTCCAATTTTTTGATTAGATTTTGTTGTAGATCAATTGGTATGCATAGTGGATGAAATGAGAGTTGTGACAAAATCATTACAATTATTTAGTAATTGACCAGTAGTCATTAAATTTAATATTTTTAAAGATGACTGAGTTACTAGTGGCGGCGACGAATAAATGGAGAATTTCAGTTGTAAATCATTCAAAAACCGATTCATCGCTTTTCTAAAATATAAAAGTACGCAATAGAACTTATAAAACTGCTTTGACATATATTTTGAGTCGTTTTAATGCGAGACTTCTGTATATTCCGCCAGATTTCAGATATATAGCACCGAATATCCGAAGTAAATTCTACGTAATTAATACAAGAAATATTTTAAATTATATTCTCAATTTTTGTCTGAACTTACTTTTCTTTCCATGCCATAAAATGTAAGACATAATTAACCCAAACTCGCTACAATGAAATGATACAGTGGCATGTTTAGCAGAGCTAAGATAATTTTCTCACATTGAAAAACTGTATGTTTTAAAATTGCATTAGTTTTTGATGAGATTAACAGCAAACGTAGTTTCAAAACATGTACTAAAATATTAATTATCTTATACTTTTCATCCGACACACGGCATCTGAAGTAACTAAGACGTCGAATGACTGTAGGATTCGTACTATTCACTTTCAAAAAACAGGAACAGGAGAGGATTTTTTCAATTCGAAAAACAGGAAAGTTAATAAATTTTTTTCAGAAATACAGGAAATAAACGCATGCAGAAAAATGACAAGTGAGATTTATCACAATTTGTTAAATAATATCCCGGTCTCAGTCACGTCAGAATCGGGATCGTCCCTAACAACAACATCATACTTCATTTTACTTTTCTTTACTCTTGATTGCTTCTTCTCTTTCATCTATTTTTACTTCTTTCGTTTAATACTTCGACATGAGCGTGTAGAATTTACACAGTCAGTCTTTATGGAGATATTCCGATTCTGAGTGTAAACGTCATTTATGTTAGTATTCACTTCTCTTGGTTGACTGAAAGATAAACGAAACTGAAGTAAGAATATTTGTCTAGCTGACTGATTGGATTCACGTGAGAGGCAGAGACCTTCTAACAGATTTTATCACAGTAAACAGTAAGATTGCAGAAAAACATCAAAATACAGGAATAACAGGAAATACAGGACAAATACGAAGCCTGTGACTGTTTTATTGCTCAAACACGAATCTTTGTAGATTCTTATTACTTTACAAACGCTAATTTATATCTCAACCAAAGTCGTCTCTTTGCTTTAATGTGCATCCGAGGAAGAACGACAATGTGATGGATTGTATGGCATGTAATACTTTATTTTCATAAAAAAAGAATTTTTCGTATTTTTTCTTTCTGCTGTTGTTTGTAATGAGCACAAAAACTGGAAAAAAAAGAACACCAAGAGAGAAAAAATTATATTACTAAAAAATACAAGAATGAGGTTTTGTTTTCCAAGTAGTACCGGGGCAAAATTTCTGTTAGAGGCAGAAGTGAAGAGCGGAAAAAAAGAACTGTACATCAGAAAAAGTACATATATAACAACAACATCAACAAACTATACACTACCCTTTTGAAGGCCGCCGCACACACACAAACACAGACAGACAAATACTTGCTCGAAAAAAGAGAACCCAGAAGAGACATAGACGTGTTTATAAATGACAACCATTCTATTCGCTTGGCTATACAGAGAAGAAAAGGAGTTTAGTATGCGTAAGAAAAAGAGTTGATCAACAAATAGAAACGAAAAAACATAAAAATAAAAAAATTTTAAATATATTACTTTTTTGTGTCTTCTCGTGTTAATTACTAATACTGATCTTAATAGACAAAAATGCATAGAGAGAGAAGATATTTATCTTTCCTCTAAGTTCAAACGTAAAAAAAATAAATATTTTCTGGTTTAACGTGAGAAGACAAAAAATGTGAAATGAAAAAACATGTTTTTCTTTACTTAGAGGAAGAGCTTGACCGTTTTATAATTAATTATTATCTAATTCTTTTTTCGATTGATCAAAATTGAAACTGTGATGGTGGCTGTTGAGGTTGTTGCTGTAGATTAATCTGACCATTTGTCGTTGACGTTACGTTCGGATTAGCAGATGATGATCCAAATTCGAATGGACGAGAGTCACCTTGCTAAAAATAAACAAATGGATTTTGTGCATTCAAATGGTTAGTATACAACACAAATTGATTAAGGCTTGCTGTTAAGTAGATAAATCCGATTACATTATCAGTGGAGTTACCGATCCTCTCGTTATACTCACAGATTTTTAGAACAACTTTGAACCTATCTTTCCCATCAACTGGTGCAAAAAACCACCAACTTTCATATAGAAACAAAAACGTTCTCGCCTAACTAAGATCAGAAAAAGACTAAGAAAATCCGAGAAGTACTGATTTCTTTCAAAAAAGAAATTGTTATTTAAACCTCTACATTGCTGTGTTAATGTGTATGCATGCCTATTTGTGAAGTTAACATACCGCAGTAACATTTTCTTCTTCATCAACACCAAAATATGTCTCGATAATATGAAATGCTTTTTGATATATTTCGATATTTTCATGACTTTGAAGATATTCAATTTTATCTAACCCTAAACAAGAAATGAATTGAATGATAAAAGTGTAACTAAACATAAGTTTCTCTAAATGCTAACCGTTCATATTTTTATTGCTCTGAGTCATAAAGAAGTCTTACAACATCTAGAGTGGTCGTATTATACTTGAGCAACAGTTTTTAAACTTACCAAAGCATTCTTCAATCATCATTGCATATGGATTTGGTCCAGCCGTTCTTTTAGCTTCAGCTGCACCTAATTTTAATATATTTTCTAAACCATTAAATGCCACTTGTATTATTTTTGCATCTGCAACACTTAATAATTCACATAACGGTGGAATTGCACCTTGATCAATAATATATCTAAAAAACAACAAGTTAATTACTCAAAGTATCAAAACTTATCATACTGCCGTCTAATACTTGATTTGTTGTGGTGTACCACCTGATGTTGCATTAGTGACGGCCCAAGCTGCTTCTTTTCTGGTTTTATGATCACCATGTTTTAAAATATTAATTAATGAAGGAAATATACCGGCATTAATAACAGCCTATAAACAAGTAGAACTAAATATAGATGCATATTTTGTTACTACTATATATAATCTTACTTGAATTTGATTTTGAACACCGGCTGTTATATTTGATAATGTCCAACATGCTTCTTTTTTGATCGATTCTTTTTGACTTTGTAATAATGTAAGTAAATGCTGTAAAACACCAGCATCCAAGACAAGCTAATCGAAAAAAAGATTAAAAAATACAAAATAATCTCTTCAAACAAGAGCAGAAAAGTATGATCTATTGAATGTACAGACTAATACTAAACATCGTCTGTCTTCTAGTAAGAGTACAATTCCCGATTCAAAACTTATTTTCACAAATGTAAAACATGATATTAGTTTTCATTAAATGAATTTTTTAAAAGACATACCTGAGTTTGCGTATCATCGCCAGTGACTATATTTCCAACAGCACGTAACGCCGAAGATTGAACATTTAATATTGGATGTCTAGAGAGAAATAACATCTTACAGGATAAAAGTAATGTTTTAAGTTTTAATAAAAGTTTTCTACATACGCTAATAATTCGACAAGTCTTGTTGTTACACCAGCTTGTATAACAGCTTGTATTTTTTCATTTGGACCATCAGATAAATAAGATATTGCCCAACACGTATCCGCAAGTACATCACTGTCCAAATTATAGAGTAAACGACTCAGCACAGGCAAAGCTTGTGCAACCTAGAAAGAGAAAAGGAGAATCAGCAAAACAAAATATGATCTCCTTTTAATGCAAACACCTACTTTATTAAAATCAACAGCTGGATTTTTTCCACGACATAAATTCGATAAACACCACACAGCATTTCTTACCATTGTTAAACGTGTATTCCGAGCAAATATGCTAGAAAAAGTGAAGCATTTATAGTCATAAAGAAATATATTTTGTTTATAATAAGATAATATCAAGACTCAGTGTATAGTTGATAAGAACGCTTAATCCTACATGAAATCATTTAAACTTACTTTAATAAAGGATGAAGAACGCCTGTATCAAGAACATAATCACGACATTCGGGACTATCACCAGCAATGTTACCAAGTGCCCAAACAGCCTATTAAAAGAAAAAAATAAATTAACTTTATAAGTGGAAAAAGAATGAGGTCTGACGCTTACTTGTTCTTGAACATCTTCATTTTGACTACTCAATAATTGAACAAACACCGGTACAGCACCAGCATCAATAACATATTTTGTCTGCATTGAATTACCTGATGCGATATTTGTCAAAGCCCACGCAGCTTCAAACTAAATTTATATAATACTTTCGATAAATTTAAATCGGATCTGAAAAAAGAATACAAACCTGTATTTGAAAATGTTGAAACTTCAATAGTTCAACAAATCGAGGAACAATGCCTGCTGTTATCACTTCATCAATAGGTGGATTTGGTTCTATAATGAAAAAGCTAATAAGTTTCATTGGTATTTTGTCTTCAACTTTATTTTGTTAGTGAGAAGACATACAAAACCACTCATTCAAGAGGAGAGCATGAGCAAACAACGCCCAGTTATTGTACAAAAGACTAATATCCTACTTACCTTTTGATAAAAGTTTTCTAAAACGTACTGTTGCATCTAACATTTGTTGTGAATCATCGCCGTATAATGCAGCAATCATCTGACTTGTTATTACCTAAACAGAAAGTATTTCTAACTTCTTTTATTTTCTAAAATTAGAGAAAAACATACTGGTTCACTTATTCCAGGTTGTCTTGTTCCATCATTTGCTACACCAAAACTATCTGCTGCTCCATCAGCAACATCATCATTACCACCTAAATTTCTTCTTTTGAAATGCTATTGGGTAACAGAGAGAAAAAAAACATTAGATGTTTTTCACCAAACAACATTTTGCTTACCTGTGCTTCTCGATTTTTTTTACGTAACATTATATTCAAGCCCTCACGACGCTTACGTAATTCTTCTTGATCCAAGCCACGATGTTTGTAATTTTTTGAACGCTGATCGTTAGAACTCATTGTTGAATAGTTATTTTAAAATTAATAAAATGATACAAGTAGATCTAAAATAACAAATGTAACTGGTCATACATCCATAATTGCAGAAACAAAGAAAGAGTACGATATTCCAAAACGATCTTTATGTACAAGTTTTGTGCTTGTTAAGTCAAAAAAGAACAATGTCGACCAATTCTTTTGTACAAGGCGAAAGAACAAAATTTCGCAAACAAATCTCTTGACATTTTAGTTCTACTAGAAATAAAAACAAAAAATCAGGTATATTAGTAATGAAAAAAGAATGTATTAACAAAAACAAAGAAAAATATTTATGTTCACACAGAAGAATATGCCTGTTGTTGAGCGATAGAGATATATTTGTTCGGCATCGTCCACGTTGTTTCGCCAGTTTTGTCGTGCCAATAATAAGGTTGTCCACCATCTGTTTTTGTTTCATACCACGTTCCATCGTTCACTGGTACTTCCTCTATTGCGGGTTCTTCTTCAACTATTTTGGTCTCGTCTTCTTTATGTTGAGTTCCACTAGCCGCCTCGGCACTTGAAATAAATGTAGGTTTAGGCGTTGGTGTCTTTAGGACAAATTTCGGTTTTTTACATGTTATACGTACGGGTTCATTTAGTGGACGTTTTAATTTTGATGGTAAATTTGGTTGTAATCCATCTTGTTGTTGTTGTAAGTGTTTATAAATCTGATCCGTATCAACACCATATTGTGAGGCAGCATGTGGATTTTTAGCAACATCTTTTTGAAATGACACTAATGCTGCTTGTTCAATTTTAGCTATTGTTAAAGTATGTTTTTTATCATCTTTTTCTTTTTGTAAACTTGTTTTTCTTATTAATTCAATTCTTAATTTAACGTTTTCTTTATGTTTATTTCCTTTTTCATGGAATTCGACACTAATTTTGTTATCAGCCAACCAACATTTACAAAATTTACAATAATGACGTGGATTTGATTTCCAATAGTCAGCCATTAAAAACAGATATAACACATACGATATAGAATAATAAACAAACAAAGGAAGTTATCTGCACCTAATACAGGATGGAGAAATTACGCGATCTTTCTTAATAACAAGAAATATATGAGAGCAGTTCACTAGAAGACAATACGGTGAAATCCGAAATGAAAAAAAGTTTTTTTTGATTGATATAGTTCGACGTCCGCTTTTTATCATTTCGTACCCATCAGAGAGAGTTTAGCGTAGAGAACAAACGCATAAATTTCATTGGACTGGAAATAGAACGGACAATTTACGAGAGCAAAAGCTTTATTTTCTATCCTAACATTATATAACCTTGTTAACAATATATTTCCTACTTTCTATCCAACATTGAATATGTATTCAGACTTTCAAAAGATAGCGCTACTGTAGGCGTCTTCAGAAGTAGGAATCTGTTCTCAGCACAGCTAAGGTTTCATTTCTTGGCTCAGAATGAGTGAATTTTCGGGATTTTCTACGGTGTGTGTTCATAGGAAATTGCCCACTCTATGGTGATTAAGATAAGTCAGCAAAAAAACGCCAGGAGCAAATCACTACAGTCAATGCAAAAACAAGCGACGAAAAGTTACTTTTTATGTTTACGCAGGTCATTTGACATTCTTTCAGATTTTTTTCTATGTAAGCTAAGATTTCCTTTTTTCGCAAAAACTACCGGTAAGATTCAATAACCTTCGTAAACTTCAATCATTACACCTGGCATCTAAATATTTCAACTTCATCTAAAACTTTTTGAATAATCTAGTGAATCTACCTAAGATTTTCCAAATTTTCTTAGAAAAGCCAATTTCCTTTACTGATTTATTTTTACTTCAGCTCGTGATTAGGAAGAAGTTTTAGGAGGCAAGCCTCCCTTTACCAACGACTAAGTTTAGTTTGAAGTTAGAATGCCGGAGGACTGCTTCTTGCGTCATTCGAACATGCTAGACATTAAAGTCGCTTTTATTTGACCAGAAATAAAGATAGTTATGAGTTAAGTGTACGCTTTACAAACTAAGTGATCTTTTCCAAAGTACCCATGTAAAAATTTTATGTCTCAAACGCGTTTGTGCGTTGCTGACAGATGTGTATGAATGCGTTCAGAATGAAACATCTGGATGTGTCGAAACGCGCCTGGACCGCATTTTTAACGAGATGTGTTTTGGTGCGTTCGGATGTTTCATTTTGAACGCATTCTACACACATTCACATGGGCAGGCCTTCAGTCAATATTTTCGCGAATGTCAGTCGCAGAAGAGTTTGGATGAAAATATACAACAACAAAGTAAGATCTTTCCAGCTTCCATTATGAAAAAGCTTTTGTGTACAAGTCGGATAAGGATTCTCTTTATATCAATCATTTAATATTTCATCAAGTTTCTTGCCTTGAATTTGGTGATCAGAGTTAGTAAGTGGGCTACTTTTTCAGATGATGATCACACCAATAGATGAAAATATAGCACTACTATCCATTTCAAAATAGAAGATGAGTGAACAAAACGCTTATAACTCCGGAACGAAAAGATCTAGAGACCAGCGGTTTTCAGTTTCTGAAACTAGACACTGGGGCACGTAGATCTGTGAAAAA